TGCAGGCAGTGAATGCTTCCCAGCTGATGGTAGAGGGGTGAGACTGTGCTGATAACTTTGATTTGTCTCCTCTTCTCTGAAAATTGTTGTGATGTACTCATGCTGGCCTCTCATCTGCCAGTTCTCTCCTGGGTTTGGGAGGTGGAATGGTTTGGGATGGGGGAAGAAGCAGTCCAGTATGGGATGTAAGCTCGGCTTTGTGGGAGTAAAGATGTGACAAAGAGTTCAGAGGAGGAGGAGTTGGGGTGCATGAATCCTGAGGACAAAGCCGGGGTTGCTCCTGCAGGCAGTAGTGCCTGGCATTGCTGGTGAGTCTCACGGCTGTCAGTGGTACCTGAGCAAACAAACAGGTTTAGAAAAAGACACGAATGGAAGGATCTCTGTTTTGTCCTGACCTAATAGGAAAAGTCCCACTTCTCTGTCGCCCTGATGGGGACCGCAGTCCAGGGAGTGCAAGGTGGTTTTGTTAGGTCTCCCATCTGGATAGCAAGCTGGCCTGGTACAGTCTGAGAAATCACAGACCAAATAATCTGATTTCAGGAAGATGCCTTTTGACAGGGAAAGGCAAGGTATTTTTTCTCTGGTATCCTTTATTTGTAGTGGATGTTCTCTTTTTCTGTCATGTCTCCTTGGCTCTACAGAGGTTCTCCGCTATTGTTTGCTGTAAGCACACAGCAGCGTAGGCAGACGGTAGAAAACTTATGAATACCATAGGTATCAACAAAAAGAGCTGAAGACCATTAAAGATCGTTTAGATACTAGCGTGTAGGTTACAGAGCTTTATAACACCTTGCAAAGCTGTCCTCCCCCGCAGCATGGGGAGCATGCACTCGGGCAGTGGATCCTGTGCATCGCCTTTGAAAGACTATCAATCTCGGTGAAAATTTGGGCTGATCCCTGCTTCCAGGGCATTCACCAGGCTCTTGACCTGCTCGTGCTTGGTGGTCTTGGCGTTGGCTGCAGCCTGCAGGTCTCCAGGCATTTGGTCTGGGTGTTGATTGCAAGTCTGATGTGCTTTCTGGCAGTGCAGAGTAGGCAGTCAAGCAGTCTGAGCCATAAAAGTCACTTGGTTCGCTTCAGGAAGTCTCCTTGATATTTTTGTCAGGCTCTTCAGCTCAGAAAGTCTATGTACGTGGTTTATTTCTCTTTTTCAGGGACTGTGCAAGCAGTGTGCCAGCAGCACGTGGATTCCTGATCCTTTAAACAAGGGCTTTATGCCAAGCGACATGAGTGATCTGGAGAGATATCAAAATGTGCAAATTCTTTGCTGCTTTGAGAGCATTTTAATCAGTGTCTTTGAGGGGGCTATGTCTTGTTCTTAGCAGTTCCTATAACTGTTGCTTATAATCTGATTTTTCTGTTAAATATTGATGAGAACATTATTTGACCTCACTTGTAAGACTTCTTTGTGACTTTTCTCATTAGGGACCCATTGCTTGCTTTCAGCTTGGAGAGTGTTTCTGCTTGGTTTGGGAAATTGTGCACGTGAGAAGACACTGAAGTGCTTTTCATTGCCAGCCTAATGTGAGGTGCAGGAGTTTTTCCAAATACCTGCTTGAAGTGAAAAAGCTGAAAAGTGGATGTGGGAAGGATTTCTCACTAGACTGATCCTTTGTAGTTGTGTTATGGACAAGTAGAGGTTTACACCAGTGTCATTCTACCCTTTGCACTTAGGAACAGCGTTCCTTGCTTTCCTAGAGCAGACTGTTGCTCTGGTACCCGTTATCCAGGCCATCTCTGACCTGTGTTCTTCCTGCTGCACTTTATTTCCAGTGTTTCCCTGACTTGCTGTCACCTTTGATAAGTCATTTTTCTTTCCTCTGCTTTCCCGGCTGCACAGGGAGAATTGTGCCTTTCTGCAGAGCTGGGAAGCTTTGAGAGCCACAAAAGGAGCTAGATACCGGCTTACTCTATTCATTGTACTTGACTTGACAACTCAGTAAATAAAACTTCACTCAATTGCTTGCTCTGTAATTCACGCATAAAAGACCTGTCATTCTGATCTCTCCCACACCATGCTTTAAATGCAAAGGATGGAGTGAGACCTTCTAGTAAAGCAGCAGAATTTCAGCATAGTTCAGAACAGTCTCTGAGGTGAAGTTTTGTCAGGAATATTATAGCGCAACTGCCTTGGCAGGAAGAGAAAAGTGCACGTTGTAATCCTGGTCTTCATCGTGGCTTTCCAGAATTTAACGTGGACCTCGTGATGCCTGATAAGCCTTGAAGATCTCTGCTGTCTGGATCCTCAGTGGGCGCTGGAACTATGCTGGCTTTCCAGGGAAGGGCAGCATTTCATGCCGATGGGAAGCCTGACTCTTCCTCTAGGATTTGAGAGGAATTAATAAGCGTTCCTCATCTTCTGGTATCCAGGTTCATACAACTTTGACTACAAAATGCATCCTAATCATTGTGCTTTAAGTTTCTGCATTAGGCAACACTGGCCTGGCTATCTCAGTGGGCTCTTGCACGCTGGCAACAGGGAGAGAGGTGTGTGGACTGGAGGGTGTATGGGTGCTGGGACCATATCCCACCGCAGTGTTGGAGCAGGCAGACGTTGTAGCTGGGCTCCTTCGGGCTCTGCAGAAGCCAGATCTGAGAACGTGCCCTGCCTTTCCGTGCTGCCCAGGCAGCGAGTGCAACGATTGGGTCGCTAAAAGTGCGTTCAAAGAACAACAGGTATGCCTTGCAGCCCTAGTAGCAGAAGTGTTACTAAGGAGATTTGGGTAGCTTAAGCTCTGAAAGCAAGATAGAAAATGTGTATGAAATAGTCATTGCGCAAACGTAGCGGGAGCTGTGTCCTGCTTCTAGCAGGAAGCAGAGCTGGTGCTCCCTGTGTTCTAGCTAGTGGCAACTGTGGTTGTCTCACCCTTTAGATCTCTGTGCACACGCAGATCGTTTCATCGCCCAGGTTCTCGGGTGTAGTGTTTCCACAGCTTCTTTATAGTTTTTAGGCTTGGACATATTCTCTCTAATAATCACCTCTGGCATCTTCCAGCCCAGTCTTCTCTTCTTCGTTACATCCTGGAGTCTCTGGTGTGATGTGCTGTTCTGCAGTTCTTGACTGATGGCCAACAACTGCCTGACTTGAGCTTTTCCCCTCATTTCTGCCAAAAGTGAGCTGCCCCAGTCCTCTTGCTCCTTGCTTACAGAAATCGTTTGTGATGCGGAAAAGCTTTGCATTACCATCTCTTTCTGGCGTGCTCTGCTCTTACACAAAGTGCAGTTAGGGTGAAGGAACGCAGAGGTGAGATTTCCAACCTCTGCTTGTGTGTGCTGGTTTGTAAGCTGGGTCTACACTTCAGAACAGCTGAATATCCTCAAAGGTGCAGGATCCTGTCCTACAAGGATTTCTTCCCATCTGTGCACGTTCTGGTAACTGCTGTGCTAGGCAGAGCTCCAGGCTGAATCTACCACGTCAAAGAGATGCCTTGATCTCCTCTAGTGTGCTCTCCTTCACAGGACTGGCAGAAGCACTGTCCATGTTAGTCTCTGAGAAGCTGCCACTGTGCCAGCTGCTTCTGAGAAACGTAGTTGGCAAAATCTGAGGAGCTGGTGGTCAAGGGATCCTATATGATTTCCCAAGTTGGGGTATCATATTGGGATCCCTGGAAAAACTCGACCTAGAGTTCTTGGTTCAAATGTGACGGCTGTCCCTGATGCCTGTCCCCAGGCTGTCTGATAGATCAAGAATGGTGACAATCGAGTTTGAACACTCAACAAGGTTTCAAGCTTCTAGCTGTTCAGTGCTGTTTTCAGTGGCAGGCCAGTGCTCTCCCAGTTTCACTTTGTGAAACTCTGCTTAGGAATTAATGGCTAGTCTGCTTAAGGAGTAATGTCCTATTACTGCTACTGGCTGTAGAAGTCTTTCTTGAAGAGCTGGAGCTAGACTTGTCTTGTCAGTGTGCTGGGGGAGGTTTGTAAGCGTAAGCACGTTGGGCAAGGAACATTTCACTTTCTCTCCTGTCTGTCAACGTACTCTGAACATGCTGTTGGTAGCTCAACAGCGCAGAGGCTTCAGTGGTAAAACCAGCGTCAGATGTTCCCACGCTCCCTTGCAGTTCACTTCTTCCTCTCTTGTGCCAGAATCAACGGTGTGAGAGGCAGTGCAAATCCAGATCAGAAATCGCCTTGCGAAAAGGGGACAGAAAGGGTGTAGACTTCTTGATCCTGTTTTGCCACGGAAGCCCACTGTGAAGCGCACTGTAGGTGTAGCGATGGTCAGCAGGGAGGGAGATGTCCGTCTTGGGGCACACAGCCCAGAGTGGGTCGTGGGATGGATGGTTGTTGTGGTCCCACGCTCGGAGATGTCTAGCCCTGCCTAGTGGTGCTGGCGTTTCAGCACTGGGCCTTGAGACAGTAGAATTGTGACCCTTTTGCAGGTGGCTGCCACGGAGGATTGATGAGCGTCTCTCTGATATTGCTAGACCTGTAACAGCTCTGTGGTGGGCACGTGACACAGAGGGCTAGGGAGTGAATTTGAATGGTTCTTGCTTGCCAGCACGATCCCGTGCCAAGCTGCTTTTCTCATTGCAGAGTTGTCCTGTGGAGAGGCATGGGAGAGCTCTCAATGCCACGCTGCATTGTGTGTTGTCACTGTTAGATACTGCTCGTTCTTCCTGGGTTTCCTGCAGAAAAAAAGACTGTGTGCTGGGCTGAGAGGTGGCGTTGCCCAGGCCCTGGATTTAGTGAGCTAGCCTTTGCCAGGCTGCCGCACCCCACTGTACTCCTTTGACACCCAGTGTTTCCAGGCAGGTCAGTATGGATCCAATGAGACCTTGCCTGTCTGTGCTGCTTTCCCTTCCCTGCGCTCACCGTCTTGCCTTGACCTTTTCCCTTCCCTTTTTGTCTCCCCAGTGAATGGCTGCCAGCCTCTGCCAGCTCTGCCTCTTAGAGCTGCCACTTGTGATTCCTGAAAGGCAGACAGGCGTGAATGAATGAGAGCCTAGCAGAGAGCAATCGTTTGTTACAGCACGTTTTCTTTTTTTCCCCCCCTTATTCAGATACAGCACAAAGAATCCCTCTCTACAGTCGGAGACGGTTCATTACAAGAGAGGGGTAAGCCAGCAATTCTCCCTGCCTTCCTTCAAGATTGATTTCTCAGACTGGAAGGATGATGAGGTAAGTCTTTCCTTAGTGTCTCCTCCTTTCCACAACCCTGTTGTCCTGGGAGCACAGGAGTCCATTTAGTGTCACGGGGTTATGGCTGGAAGATTCCCACTGAACAGCTGCCATGGCGTGTTTTGTTGATAGGAGGCTGACAGAGCCCTAGGAAGAGCAGGTATGAATGCTGCCTGGGAACTTGGCAGGCAGATGAGGCAGAGAGCGAGGAAAAACCCAAAGAAGCGACTACTGATGTCACTGACCGACTGGCATCCCAACAGCTGGCACAGGAGGGAGGCTGCAGAGATTGGCACTGGAGCTTTTCCCAGAGGAACCTGCTGCTTTTCAGCCTTGCTGTCCCTGCCAACCAAAGAGCTTGCGGGAATAATGTGCCCCTGTCCGGTTCCTGCTGCATCTTTCCCAGTTATCCTGGGACAGAGTCACTGGCGGTTCTGAAATCCTCTGTGTTGGTGTTTTTTTTTCTTTTTTGGCTTGTCCCCTGGAAGAGTCCTGGCCTGTTTAAGGGCTGTGTACTGCGTTGTTAACTATAGCAGTACAGTGGATACCGTCTCCTCTGGGGCAGATTCACACTGGTGCGTTAGTGCTGAATAAAGGGATGCCGTCCTTTCTTTCAGTTTAACCCATAACTGCAAGCAAACAAGGGTTTGGCTTTAATTGAGTTCTGCGGCTTTTACTACACAGCAAGATCTATGGAATTGTGTTAATTTTGATATCTTTGAAAATTTTCAACTGAGATGCTACCTCTCGGCTTTTCTAGCCTCTAAACTTTGACCCAAGGGCTTCTGCATGTGGCACAGGACAGGGGAGGTCTTGGACTTGCCCTGCTCTGTGCAGAATTGCCATAAGAGATTTCTGATGCAGCGGAGTTGCTCCATATCTGCTGCTAGTTGCTTGTTCCTGTGGACCCCTCTCCCAGCTCACAGTCAATACAGTGCTCATTTCCTGACCCAAGCCTATATATGAGTATTGTGTGTGTAAACCTTGGTAGGTAACTCTACCTATTTAAAAAAAAAAAACTTCTACGGGTTTTGAAAAGATTCAATAGCTGTTGTTTTGAAGTTACAATTATAACTATAATCAGTGTGATGCTTTAACAAACTCTGTGGCAATAACCATGCTCCTTCAAGAGCCTGCAAAGTCTGGTCTCCTGATGTCCTGGCTTCTCTGCCAACATATGATTTCACAAGCTCAACCTACAAAAGCCTGGAAGAGCTGCTTTTCAGACCCTTCTGTCATCTGAGAGAGCTGGAAAGTAGCAGCTCAAATCCCTTTCTTCTTAAAGAATTGAGAAGCTTAGTTTTCACTTTTGTTCCTGCCAACAAGGTTTTAACTCTTGAGTACTAAAGTCACGTCCCTTTGACAGCTTAAAGGGAGAGATGCTGTGGAAAAGTAAGCTTTTGGCTTCCTTTCCTTGATTCTGCTGTGTTCCTCTGTCACATCTCTTTCATAGATGTCACTGGGAGCTCTGATTGTAGAGAAAATTTAGGACAAGCAGTGTGGTTCAGAAAAGTTTCTTCTCCCCTTTTGGCTCTTTGTACATGTAGGTCTTTTCTCCCAAGTCCAGTAAAAGTCATATGGCTAAATCTTCCTGATTGTCCACCAAAATGCAGCACTCTTTGATCTGACAGAGTGTTAACATTCAGCTGTGTATAATTAAATGCTTCAGATAGCTTTCCAGATTCATTATTAGTGTTATCAAAAAAGATTCAGTTCACTTTTTTTTTTTTTCCACTGTAATACTCGCATATGATATAGTTCTTGGCTGGCTGACAGAAGGGAAAACAATATGTTGCGTTATGTGGAAAAAAAAACTTTATGAAAATGCATATTTTAACGTTGTCTTCATAATATGCTGATTTGCTTCCACACTGTAATGTAAGGCTTGCATGGAGACGGTTATTTTCAAGTCCCTAAAAATGAATGTGAAATGGAACCTTAAAGAGGCCATACATTTGAGAAGGTTGAAAGTTTGTGTCCTAAAGCAACCACAAATCTATGATGTGACTTCCCTTCAAATGGGCAAAAAAGTAACTGTTGGCTTACAGGAAGCAAAGCAAAACCATGAGCTGCTTTTGGCAAAATTTTAATCAATGATCTTAATGAACTTTCTCTCTGTGGCATGCCAGAACAGTTCAGAAATGCAAGATGGAAAATAGTGGCTGAATAAATCTCTTCTAGCAAATACTGATAAGCTAAATGAGATTTTTATGTTTACTAACTTTGCTGTTTTGGAAGGAGAATGCCCTTCTGGTAGTTTGAAGGAAGAACAAAATATAAAACCACCATACAAAGGAGGAAAATCTGTATCCTTCAGGCTTGAAGGCTAGCTGAGACAGGAGGGGCCACGTCATGAAAGCACGTGATGGAAGACCTCCGTTTGGTATCACACATGCCCGTTTGGATAAGTGCATGCCCAAAGCTGTGTTACGCAGCTGAGAGTTGAAGTTGTTTCTAGAAAGCGTGCGGGTTGTGTGCCTCTGGGGCCACTCGGCTTGTGCAGCGAGTGGGTCACGGTTATTGATGGACGGGTAGGAGACTTGCAGTTTCCTCTTCTCCTGTGTGTATCCCACAGAAGAACCGGCCGGTGAGTTGCAGCCCGAAGCACGCGCGTACTGCTCTTAGCTGAAGTGCAGCTGTGTGGTTGATGGGCTACAGCACACTAGGTTAGTGGATACCAGGTTATTGGGCCTCTGGAAAAAGGAAAACAGACTACCTGGAGCATGATGGTGAAATGACATCTTTTTCTCTCTTGGCGAGGGATAAGACAAGTCAGTAATTGACAAAAACACTAGAAATCTGGTCCCTGAGCCGCTTCTGCTCCTGGCATAGGACAGTGTTTGTAAGGTTGCATTTTTCTAGTGTTTTTAAGATTGCACGGAGCTTTTGAAGTGTTGCAATGAAGCATGTAAGGAGGTTAAGGACATGAATTTAGTGGCATGCCAAAAGATGGCAATCAGTCTGGTCCTTCTTTTAAAGAGTGTTATGTGAGCTTGAAATAGTACAGATTTTTCTCTGCATCTTCAAAAACTTCATACGGGGAGGGAGGGGTTGTGATGTAGGAAGGGTAAAGCGTACTGCTGTGCTATAGTCAGTATATCCTATCGTATCTAAGCAAAACTGATGACGCGAGTTATATTCTGCGAAACTTCTCCAGCTAGGAGATTTTTAGGGTATGCGAGTTAAGTGAGAATTAAATAGCATATAAAATCCCAACTGAGATACTTGCTTTGCTAGCCCCAGTTGCTGTTTAGTGCCTTCTCTGTGTATTTAGGGTGTAGTTATTCTGGTTCGTTTGCTTTGAAAGTCGGCGTCTGAATTTTAAATCTTCCTGCTCTATCAGGAGTTCAGAGCGTTCCTTTGGAATGGGGGATGAAATAGTGGGGAAACTTCTGAGCTGTGGCATTTGCTGAAATCCCATCCTCTCAGAGGCCCGGCTGCCAGCAGTGCAGCCCCACAGCCTTCACGAGGAGAAGCCCTGGGCTGCTACTTGTGCGTCAAAGCTTGGTGTCTTGTAACTGCACTGCTGTGACGTTAACGCTGTCTCTGGCGTTGTCTTCAGGCAAGCCTGGTGGGAACTGGCTAACCTCATCTTGTTTCTCTCCCTCAGCTGAACTTCGACTTGGACCGTGGTGTGTTCCCGGTGGTCATCCGAGCAGTGGTCGACGAAGGGGACGGTAAGTAAGGTGGTGTGCTCGCTCACACTTTCTCCAGCTCTCGCTTTGAGGCTATGTGACCTTCTGGGCAGGCCTCGGTCTGCAACAGCGAAAACGTTTTGCTCGCAGCAGCGCGCCTTTCTGTAATAAAAATATTTCAGGAGTTCATCTTAACTCCCTCTTGTTAAAAGGGCCCAGCTAACCACAGATTCTTACACAAAAACATACTTTTAAAGATAGCCTCTGTTTTGACAGGAAAAATGGCCTGGTAGGTAGCGTTGGACTGGTATTTAGGAGAGCTAGGATGAGCTCCTGGCTCTCCCGCTGGGGTTAGGCACAAATCAGAGCAAAAGACTCCCTCTCTCTTTGGGTTTTGCATTTGCACTCTGTAAGGCAAGGAGGGCAGTGGTCTCTTCTCCCTGTTTGAGGGGTAAGCTGTCTTCATAAAAGCTCCAGCTAGCTGTAAGGTGCGCCTTCCGATAGCGGAGGTCAGAGGGAAAAAGAAATGGCTTTAAAATGTTCAGGCCACTGTTGAACCAAATACAGCTTCGTTCAGAATTCTCTTGCTTATTCTAAAGGGAGCTGAAAGGTTACAATTAAAAGAGCGTAATATTTTGATGGGATATTATAGTGGTGATTATTTTGAATGCATGTTGCCCTTTTGGAAAGGAATGGCCAGTAAATGTTTAGATCATCATTCGCCTGGCATGCTATTTGCCTTTGAGAACGTGTGCTTTTGGGCTCTGTCTGGCTGCATTAATTCTGGGTGTCAGCATTGAAAGGGGTACAAGAAAGTCATGTTTTTTCTAAAATTGGGGGCCGTTGTGGTCAGCAACGCCAGCATTTCAGTTCTGGTTTTGGAACTTATGTACTAGATTTAAGAAAAATGAGAAAGGAAAAGCTCCATTGTTGATTGTGTTGTTTATTACAGTCTTGTATTCTGTTTCTTATGTCGAAAATGTGAAAATGCCCAGAAATTCATTGCATTATTTTACAGTCCTCCAAGCAGAGTGAATACAACTGGATGAAGCAATTTAAACTGTGATTAATAAAGCATAGTGTAACTTGAAAGAAATTGCTTCTAAAGTGCATCCATTTTTAGCGATCTCAGGCACTGTTAGTAAAATTGAGGTACGTTTTTCTGACCATAGATGTAAAACATCTTCCACTGTTTACTGAACTTTTGGCAACGTCTTTGTACTTCCTAACGTTGGGCATGCCTACAAATACCAAAAATAGAACAGGAGGCAGTGTGGGAAGCATACATTTATGCACATGTCATACCTTCTTGTAACCAATAGGGTATTGTCATTTATTATAATTACATGCAAAGACAGTTGCTTTTAAAACCTCTTCTAGAAACAATATTTTACAAATATTACACACACAAAACTATGTGAGACTTGAGTGAGACTGGAGGAAACTGTGTATTTTTGTTTTCTGTTTTTTGTTTTTATTATTCTTTTAACTGGTGGTATTGGAAGGAGCTGGCCCTGTATGTTTGGAGCACCTGGAAAATTACAGCTGGCCTGTAACTACTTATGTTAAATTAAATTGAATGGCAAATTGAAATAGCAGTCAGAGCGATGTTGGTGTTGACTGCGTTCTGCCAGGAGCTGTTTGCATTCCTTGGAGAACGAGAGATTGTGATGTTAGCGGACGTCCTGTTCCTGCCAGTGGAGTTACTCCGAGTAAAACCCCCAAGAAGCCTTAACAGAGGGAAGATGCTGTGCAGTGTGTTGTTGCGTAGCTCCAGCCATGCATGCTGCTTGGATGAACAGGATATGAAGGGAAGCAATCCCTGTTATCTGTTACTTGGCTGCTAAAACTGCTGTGAGGGACCTGAATTTCGTTTCCGGAGGTGGTGGGGTGTTTTTTTGTTTTTTTTTTGTTGTTTTTTTTTTAGCCCTCTTCTCTACATGCCATTATATTCCTGATTGCACCCTAGTTGCTAAGACCCTTCCCAGTTATTCAGCAAGTCTGTAGGCCTGGAGTCTCTCATCCCACATCCTGCTGTTTGCAAACCTGATCTTCACGGCAGAGTCCAGCGGATGGTTTCTGCTATTGTGTCTGTTTTGGAGATCCCAAAGAAGCTGTCAAGCTCCCATTCCTTTTAGACATCACAGGAGTCACTTTCTTCAGGTGTCACTGGCTTAGAGCTGATAGTAGTCACTGTGATAATAGTCATGTCAGCTTTTCCATGTGAGCTGAACACAGCCCAGGTGCTCGTAGGTACAGGTGGGGTGAGATAGTTACCCACTTTTCCTTCCTGCAGCGATTCCTCCAAAACCTGTCTCCCGTGTCAGTAGGATGAATCTGAGCATATTAAGGCAAAAGGACTTTACCGGTTAGAGCTGAACAGAATTTGAGAGTCCTGAGCTAGAGGGATTGTACCTTGGGTTTCCTCCATTTGGTGCCTGTGTTCCCCTGTGTTTTTATTTGCTGAAGGAGCCGTGAATGCAGCACAGAAACCTGCGGCAGCCCTTTCTGAACGCCTCTGGATTCAGAGAGAGGCCTCAGATTTGGAAGAGGGAAGGCGTGGTATTTGTTATTGGGGAAAACGTCAGAGAACTGGCAAGAGATGTTTCAGTGTCCAAAAATGGTATGAGAAATAAATGTTTTATAAGCGTGTAGGATTAGACTGAAACAAAGTGATAAGTACCAGGGCTGGAAGGACTGCCAACTGCTGTTAAACCAGATGGATTGGTCCCTTGCTGTGATAAATTCAGATAATTAAGAACAGGAATTTGAGGGAGAGCAGAATCCTGTTGAGCTCTTTGTATTACTTTCCTGTTCCAACCTCTGAAAACAAAGTGGGATAGAATGGAGCACCCAAGATAACCGAAACTAGTAAATGAGGGCAAGTCTGTTTATGCAGGACCCACCACAGAGTCCAGCAGGGCTTGGTTCTCACTCTGCGAGAGCATGAGACTGAATCAAACTGTTGGCAAAGTAAGAGAGTTTTAAATTGTAAGAGGATATGAAAACAGAACAGGAGGCAGTTTAGAAAGTGTTAAGTGGACTAAAATTCAGCTCTTCGTGGTTTCACGCTTGTGCTGTTTTTTATTGATAAATGCCCTTTCCCCCTGCCCCACTACCTGCCACATTTGAAGGGCAGAGATGCTCTGACTCGAAGCTCGGTGAATTCTGCCATGGATAACTGAGGTTGCCCACATCCTCACTCTCATGCTTGAAACTACTGGCCTTGTTCAGGATTTTAACCAGGCTGCTCTTTCTGTTTTTTCCAGTGGTGGTTGAGGTGACGGGTCATGCCCATGTTCTTCTGGCTGCATTTGAAAAGGTAAATAAATTTTCCTTTCGCTCTGTCCCTGTCACTGTGTATATAAACATTTCCATGGGTCATTAGTTTGTATTTGTATAACATTTAGCCACAATGGAGTCCTGGCCCATGCCTAGGGTTCCTTGGCACTATCGTAGTACAAATAATTGCTTGCAGCAGCTCCTGTGCAGCCTATAATTATAATTTATTCCTGAGCTGGTCAGTCAGCTAATTGTAGCTGGTGTTTCCTGTGTGTGGGGAGAAGGTGTACCTCAGTGCCCGTGATGTTTGAATGTGGTGGGTGTCGACTGAGGCTGCTACGAGGCAATTTCCAGGGCCCTATGACCTCTGCACAACCAGATCTGCTGTGTCCAGAACCTGTTCCACCGTTGTTTGGCCTTAGCTTACACATAGGACCAAGCCCTCTTAAAGAGTTAGAATACATCTTGCATAAAGACTTCGAGCTCCGCTACTTTTGGGTGGCATGTTTACGTAGCTGGTCCCCAGCTATGTGGTGATGTTAAAACCAAATGTATGCCCAGGCCTTTAAAACAGAGACTCTTCCCATGGTAACTGGACCCTGAAAATGGCTGCAAGATCTGCGGCTGCTCCATGTTGTGCCTGGTTGTGGGAATACTGCAGACACGTGTGCTGGGCATGTGACACTTGTAGTGACAGGCTGAGGTGAGGCAAGAGATGCTGGGGTAGAGCTGGGACAGCATGTGGAGGGGAGCAGCATCAAAGCTGTGATGTTAGACATTCCCCCCTCCCCAGCTGGCGTGTGAGCTGACTTCTGTTCTGCACCTGCTTGGTTCCTGCCAGGTCTTACTGTCCTGTTGCTTCTGGGTGCATAATGCAGGGGGAGCAAGCTGAGTCGGAGGGCAGGAGAAGCACAGTCAGTCCCAAGGAAGCCCTGCAGCCTTAGGGAAGGTGGTAGCGTTTGGCGCTTGTCTGTCATCTTGGTGGGAAAGTGCTGTAGGCAGAGATGCTGTAGCCTTGCAGAAGGAAGGATCAGCCGCTTCTGAGGAGAGAGCAATCGATGAGACTGCCAGCTTCCTGCGTGTTGCAGCTTGATTTTGAAGTATTCCGTGCATGTTCACCTTCCTCATCTGTGATCCCCTGGCTTTTGCCTTCATGACTTTTTTGGCAGTAACTAGGTTCAACCTAGATTCTGGATCTGGATGATGTCAGTGTAATTTGTACTTTAAAAGGAGTGTGTCTAGTTGCTGTCCTCCAAGTACGCAAACTTAGCGCAGTTGCGGTAAGCCCGGCTCGTGCGGTTGGGGAGCCGAGCGCTCGCATGTCCCAGCTTCCTGTTCCAGCATCCTGTGGCCAACACCTGATAATAGCACCTATAGAAATCTCTTCCCCTGAGGTAGCTTCCTGTGGAGCAAGTTTAGCCCCCACACTTGTGAAAAGTGGCGCCTAGCCTGTGATTGATACCAGCAATTTCCTGGTGTATGTTAGTTAGGCTGGAGATGGTTAAGGCAGTTGTGGTGATTTCCGCCTCAGTAATGCTTTCAGGCCTAACAGCTGCACACCCCGACCACATCGTAATGCAGCTGAGTCTGTGGACAAAAGTCGTGCCGATCCCTGCGGAGTGGTCTGGTGCGTGTTAGGAATGTATTCGTATGGTGGCAAAAGTGAAGCTTTGGAAATTTCCCTCTCATGAGACTGGAAAGTAGCTGGAACTGCTCCAGCTCTGTAAGCGTGACTTCCAGGATTATAGGTAAATTCTGTGTGCCATGTGGAGCTTGGAGCTCTCTGGATGCACAGAGGTGAAGGCAAACGCACCCTTAGTGTTCAGAGAGCTGAACGAGCTACGCCACAAAACCGGGAAGCAACCGAAGCTGGTCAGGCCATTGCATCGGTGCTGGGTTATGCCCAATGTTCAGATCTGAGTTGAAAGTGCTTTGCTTTTTCCAGTCTGTATGCTGTGAGAGGGAGACGTTGCCCTTTGGGGTCACTTCTTTCTTCTGATGTTCCAGTCGAGTGCTTACAAACAAGATCAAAATCTTTTTATTAAAGGTCACAGAGCAAAGTGCTTGTTGATTTCTTCCTTCTCCTCTGTTTGACTAAAATATGTTCCCCGTCCTTAGGAAAACTGAAGCTTTTGAAGTACAGGGCCATAAATCCAGAGCTGGTCTTTGCTAATCAGTACTGCTGCTGATCAGCAGAGGACAGGCAGACCAGCAGGCCTTGGTAACTTGCTATTTATATATATCTTTAAGAATGGAATTGTAACCTTGACGCTGCGCAATCTGGCCTTGCAGCTCTTCCAAAGGCAGAAGCTTGGCAGTTTGTGTTTGCCTGGAAAACAGGACTGTTTTGTCTTCTGGTGCAATGATGCTGTTCCTTCCTCTGAAACTCCTCCAGCAAACAGATATGTGTCTGCAACTATTCACACCAGCAAGACCTGCTGGAGCTTCCCCTAAATCTTACTTCCTGCTCCCGGTAAATGCTGGCAGAGGACTTAGCTCGGTTCGGCTTATTTGGCCCTGATGGATGATGGAGAAAACAGAAATAGCACAGTACTCCTAACACCAATTTTGACATCAGATATATACAGAATTGTTCCAGCTGTGCCTGCTGCTATTGAGCAGATGAGGTGCTGGAAGACATCACTGGATCTCGACTCTGAAGATGGCAACGTGCGTCGCGTGTGACTTGTTTCTGACTCCAGCCAGTGGACAAACCGTGTTTGTGTCTCCTAACTTGGCTAGCAGACGCTAACTCTGTTGTTCGTGAATCTGTGTTACTCTTCAAATTGTGTCAGCTATTTAATGCGTTTCCTTTTTTTTTTTTTCCTGGTAGCACGTTGATGGCAGTTTCTCTGTGAAGCCCTTAAAGCAGAAGCAGATCGTAAGTACCTGTTCCTTCTCTACAGCTTGATAAAAGACGTTGTTGCTGTCCCACAGGTGCCTCACTGTATCCAGTAGGAAGCTTTGAGGTTAGTTCGCCAGGAGCCTGAGATCTCCCCTAGTTTGCTCAGATAATGCAAGCAAAGGCTGTGAGCTGCTGCTTAATGTTGGGGTGGATGTAGTACAGCCACATGTGGGGGGCACACTTATGACAGCGTGGTACTGGCAGAGCAATGGTGCAGGCCTCTCTGTGCCCCTCTGGGAGGGAAGTGCGGTGTGCAGGTCCAGTCTCCCCTGCTTGCTAGCATCTGTTGCTTGAAAACAAAAGTGGCAGAGACCTTAGACATGATGTTTCCATGTCTGTATAGGTGCAAGTAAGGGAGGCTTGTATAAGTGAGCCTAAGTGTTGCATGCATTAAAAAATGTGAAGCACGTCTGCTCATTGATACTGCCTGGCCTCTTCAGGTTCTGTGCTTTGTGCTGTGGAGAGATACCTTTGCAGGCCGGTTTGGCTACCCATCTGCTACCTGGAAAGTGAAAACTGCTAGCTTTCCACCTGCATGTAAGAAAGCAGGGGACCTTATACATGCCTTCTCCCAGCACAAACTTCCTTTTCGTGCTGATGGTAACTTTGGAGCAGTCCCAGGAGATCTGCGTGGAGAGGTCTTTAGTCCATGTACTGGTAGATGTGGGAGCAACCCCCGGAAGCAGGGACTGAAGAGACCTTTAAGCTTAACTTGCCTGTCCCCTGCAAGTGTCCTAGGACTTGGGAAAGCAGTCCCAGACACTGTCTTGCATTGAAGTTGTTGTTTATGTGTCAGATTGTGCACACTTAGGAGGGGAAGGGGAGAAAGGAGACTGGCAGGCAGGGGAACATTAGGGATCTGTAGTCCTGTTTTAGCTGAGCCCAGTGCGGTGTGTGAGCATAAGCTGTGCAGTGCCTTATCGAGATTGCAATTGCATCCAGTCCTGGGCAGAGAGAAATACAGAGCAACTGGAAGCTGCTAATATCACCAAGAGTTTCAGCTTGAGGAAGGAAATCTGGCAAAGGTCACATTGCAAAGATGCTGAGATAAAGTAAAACATAAGATTAATCTGGTCAGGTGGATCTGGGACACCCCTTGACTTCCAGTACCTGACTAGCGTATTGCCACCATTCCTGCATCTCTCCCTTGTGGTAGTCCTGACGTGCTGTCGTTGCTGGAGCTCACGTTGTCACATCTGAGCGTTCTCCCTCTCTTTGTCTACGTTCTTCCCACATCTTGCAATTACTTCATTGTAGATTGAACGCTTGACCCTTCCTGTCCTTGCTGCACCGGCCTCCATCCTCACTGTGGTATGCATAGCATGCCCTGGCCTGTTTTTCATTGTTTTTCATGAATGTGCTGTATTTGTATCGTCACCTAAGAGTGATCATGGACAAGCTGTTGTGCTTTGTGCTGTGGAAAAGTATTTTTGCGCCCTCTATTTCTCCACTCCAGTCAATGCACGTTGAAGCTCGTGACCTTCTTCTGTTACCCATGCGTGGTCTTTTCTGTGGCTCTCCCTCCTCCATGCATCACTCCATATCTGGCTTGCTGGATTCCCTCCTCCCCATCAGGCACCTCTGCAGCACGTTGTCTGGACTGTTCTCTATTTTCCAGTGCTGTTTTTTTACACATCACCAATTCTGGCTCCCAGTACAGATGAATTGATGGATGCGCTCCTCTTCGTTGTCTAAAAATCGCCTTGCACTGTGAGCATTGGCTGCCTTTTTTTATCCACTGTATTATCCTGTCTGATGACCGTGTTAGGATGGACAGCCACTTTCCTAGTGCTGGTACAAGGTGACCACTTCAAAGCAGCAACTGTAAATGGGTTTCCATCTCTAGAACAGATCTTGCAAACTGCTTTCAGATAAGGCCCCTAAGCTGTCTGTATTGGAGCTGGGCAATTATAGATTTGATACTCAGACAGGCAAACTTCTTGCTCTGGAGAGTTTAGAATTATTATTATTTTATTTTATTTTATTTTCGTACAGGAGAGCGCCACATGGTTCACTTCCCCTGGATTTGCTACACCTGCACAAATCGGGGTCCCTGCACCCTGGTGCTATGCTGCAGCTCAGGTGTGAGCTGCCCAGCTTGCCTGTTGCAGAGTGAGATCTCGGAGATGTGTGGGGTAAAAGGCAGATGGGAGAGGAGTGTGAAGGCTTTTGGATGATGAGCTGTGGTTTTCCATCTGCCCACTTAGAGCAAAGTTGCATGACTGTGGAAGACGAGCAGGAAGAATAGGGTGGTGGTTGATTTCTTTTCCGAGTCCACTCCTACAGAAATGTCTCAGGCCTCCTGCTCTGGTATTTCTGTACACAGAGAGTGTACCTTCCTCTGAGGAAAAGGATCAGCCTCTCGTGGGCCTTTAGGAAGGTGAATTGTTGGTATTTGCCAGAGCATATTCTTCAGTCTTGACCTTTTGAGTTTGAAGGCCCTTCTGGCCATCTGACTGGCTTGCTGTGTATTGCCATAGTTTTGTCTAGCTCCTGAATTTCACCCTGGAACGTGTATTGTGCTCAACCACCTGTCCTAGGAAGGCATCCAGTGAGGCTGCAAAGATGTCGGCGTCCCTTTCTCCCTGTCCCGTGCTGCAGGGTGCGTTAGATGGTTGATCCCTTCACCCTTACATGGGTGCTGTGTTTCTGGTTTAAATGTGTCTGACTTCAGCTTCCAGTGATTGATGGTAAGGATTTTCTCAGCTGAATTAAAAAGCCTTTTAGGACCAAGAAGGTTGTTAGATGCTTCGATTAGGCACTTTTTGATGAACTTGGGAATAAGTCACTGGCTCCAAGATGTGTTTCTTCTGATCCCCAGCTCAGAAAAGAGCCATTGAACAGGATCAGGTAATCATGAATATCAAAACTGCATTCAGTAATTCACCGTCTGCC